ATATCGAAGTGTCTCTCACTTCTCCCCCACCAATTTCCTCTCTCTCTCTCTCTCTCTCTCTCTCTCTCTCTCTCTCCTCTTTAAAAGTGTTAAACGGCGTGCGTGTTTTATTCACATGACACGAAACATTTCACGTCTCAACAATGAAATTTGTTACGCATTTCCTTTTTTTGGGACCAGAACCACGACATACGCGAAGCCCATCGTAACGCACTTGACTTCGATACCTGATTGCATCGGGCGACAGCCATTGGGCGTGGGGACACGAAATAATTAAAGCGGCTTCAAAAAGCTTGGAATTTTTAAATGTGTTACGGAGAAAGAAGACATGTAAGTACGATTCTACGATCTGTGTTGTTAGAGACTGCACACTGGGCGAGCAGCAAAGGGCTGACACAACAGAACAGCATGAAGTACTTCACAAACGCATATTAAGCTCAAGCCAGGAGACATCTTGGAAGAATTGTACCCTAGAACGGACGATGATATTAAAATGGTTTGTGCGTTCCCATTGCCGCTGAAGAAGTCCAACGGCAGATTTCTTTCGGAACAGAAATGAAAACAGGAGACATCTTGATGACGTGATTAAACTCTTCAAAGGGCTTGTTGATGGAAGTGGCTTGTAGTTCGACCCTGGGTAGCCTGCAGGGACAATGTTGCTTGTAACTAGAGATGCCAATCAGCGTGGAATTCCGTGTCGGTAGGATCGATATGATTCTATCGATAGGCTGGAAGTCGGTATGAATAGTTTTCTTTGCCTCCAAACACTGGTCTGTTGCCAACTAAAAATGAGATAGCCGCCTGACTGCTTAGCATCTGCCAGTGTCTCACCTAAACCCCTCCCCGCGCACATTCCAGAGTTGTCCAGAAGAGACTGGTGTTTATTTAGGTGATGGATTTGACTTCGCACATATAACAGCGGAGTAAGGAAGCCGGTGACCGCTCTGATAGAACAGGACATTACCAGCAGCACATCAAGACTACAACAGGTAGAACAGTGCGGTCCGACTGCAGTTCTAGCAACGCCACTGGAAGTCAAATGCGTCAGTCGGAATATGAAGGACCCATTTGCCTAATTCCTGGATACGTTCGGACCATGTCTTTACACGTTCTTCCTGCGCATTACCTAACTCCGACATACACGTACCATTTTTTTTTTTGCGTAGACTGAGCTGCGATTTTTTGGTACACACAAGAATTATCGTTTATAACCAAGAACTTTAATTAATCTATATTTTCCGACATCTCAGCTTCTGGATGACAACAGACGACGTTACTCTAAATGAATGAAGGATTCTTGGGCAGTTGTTTGCAAAATTCGCAACAAATATGATTCACTCGAATCCGTTACCATGACGTACTGTTTGTTGCTTGTAAGTTTCAGGGGGGCTGTTCCCCCAGACAGAACGACTCCTCACGGAACGCGGCTGGCTGGAACCAAGCTTCCGAGGGTGAATCACGTGATCGATCCATTCGGTCGTCGCACTGCCCCCTAGTGGAGCCAGGAGGACGACTTCGTTGACGCACATTTTCGCCCTTAGCGCCGGTGACTCATTCGTCATCAGACCAAGCTTGCTCTGGTGGGGCGATGAGATCATCGGCCGTATGTCTGTCCGTCCGTCCGTCCGTCCGTCCGTCTCCGTCGCGTACGTACAGGTAGAAGCTTGTCAGCGCCGCAAGTCCCGAGTTTGAGGTTCGCCTCTGAGGCTATTGAGTTTTTGCCTTGTTTTCCTCAGTCGTTCCAGAGGAATTCCGCAAGAAAGTTATTAAGTAGCTGTTCTACGCCATTAAGGTGTAAAGGGAGGCGGAGTCAAAAGCTAAGCTTCACGCATCGTGTCGCTGTAATTTTGGATTTACTCTGAATGCAGTGGCGCAAACGAGAAACTTCTCGTCCGTCGTCGCGTACGTACAGGTAGAAGCTTGTCAGCGCCGCAAGTCCCGAGTTTGAGGTTCGCCTCTGAGGCTATTGAGTTTTTGCCTTGTTTTCCTCAGTCGTTCCAGAGGAATTCCGCAAGAAAGTTATTAAGTAGCTGTTCTACGCCATTAAGGTGTAAAGGGAGGCGGAGTCAAAAGCTAAGCTTCACGCATCGTGTCGCTGTAATTTTGGATTTACTCTGAATGCAGTGGCGCAAACGAGAAACTTCTCGTCCGTGGCTCGAATTCGACCCTGAAAGTCAAGTGGTATGACTGCGCCGTCTTCTCCGTCCATTCCCATTTATCGTCCACAATAGCATAGCAAGTGAAGCGACGTAATTAAACAAACAAGATCGGTAAGGTGCAATGTTTGCAGCTCACTAACGTTCCTGAGGTGTTCTGTTAACCAAACACAGTGACGTATTATGTCACCTTTCATCACACAAGTATATTTCTGAAACGTCTTTACCCTGGGCAAAAATCCGTTCACAGGAACGGCACGAAGAGAGGTCGTAGCATGATCCTGCTTTGCTAGATGACACAGTCATCCATTCCTTTTACACTTTCCTATCTTTTCCAAGATTATATTTCCCGCATTAGTTAAAGTCTAAATTAAATTCTTGTCAGAACTGTTTTACAAAATCTAAGTCTACCATAACCGATCTGGTAACATATCTGCACTTTGGTACTCCAATTCTCGGCTCCCAAGGTCAAGCTGATGCCATTTATTTTGATCTTAGTGATGCTTTTGAACTTGTCCCTCGTATCCAGCAACGCCGAAAGCTCGCCTCTTTTGGACTTTCTGGTGTTTGTGTAAACTGGTTTGATAGTTGCTTAATCAGCAGAGAATTCCAGGCTCGTGTTTCTGGAACTCTTTAATCGCTTTTTGTAATCCTCTCTGCCGTTCCACAAGAATCTGTTTTGAGTCATCTGCTTTTCAGTACATTCCTCCACGACTTAGGTAATGCAATTTTTTACTCTAGATACATTCTTTTCGCCGATGATATCAAGATAATCCGCGGCTTTAAGTAACCCAACGACTGCAACCGATTTTGATTCTTTACAACTAACTAAATAACTGAATATTATTAAAACTAGGGTAATTTCTTTCTCTAGAAAAACTACTACATTGACCTAAGATTTTTATTTTTCAGTCCTCTGTAACACGTGCCGAACTTAAATCTCAGTTTTAAGAGAAATGAAATTGTTCTTTCTGGGACTGAATGACAAGCTGTTCTTGTGAAGTTAATGACATTTTTAATTTCATAAGACAAATTGAATGTTCGACAGAATCTCATTTTTTGTACAGTGATAGTTCACTAACATATTTTGCATCTAGACGTACAAGTTCAAGTTATTTTTGGACTCGTGTCATTTTTATAAGTGCCCACATAATTTTGAAGGAACATTTCATGACTCATGTTATGTTTATTTACTGCTGGGGTGACCTGTTTAAGTCAGTGTGGGTTTCAGTTGTTTCGTTGAGGTCAAAAACCAAACCAATAAGAAGAAGTGAACAAACACGCGTCCAGGACTCATGTCGTTTTTATAGGAAACAAACTATAGCCATACCTGAATAGGATTTGAGGTTTTCACGGCGGTGAGTTTGAAGACGACTGTCCTCTGAAATCTCCCGCCGTGTAGGACACGGCGGAAGAACCCAAAAGACAGCCATCTTACAGGTAAATCTGCCTAAAGCGGTAAAGGCTTGGGCTAACGTAATTGATGCTTTTGCCCTTGGTAATTGGCATGGTAGCAACAGCTCAGTTCTCTACAAATGACCGATTCAGTTGTTGTTGTTGTTGTTGTTCTTCTTCTTCTTTTTCCGATTTAGCTGTTAGTGAAGTTCATGTGCCATGATGCGAATATGATGTTGAATTTCTAAGAATTTTATCAGGCTTCTTCTTTCCGGGTTTCTATATTGATAAATTTACGGTTTTTCAATATTAATCCGTCTACAACTCAAATTAAAAACCTCAAAACTTCCTGCCATTTTCAAAATCGACCTAGTTTCATTGGCATAATGACTCAGGAAAACATGTTTTATTTTATTAAAATCTTAATTTCTTGTATAGCTCGTACAATAATAACCGTATGGAAAAATTCCTTGTTATTCTATCACATAATGTAGTCACGAAAGTGTTCGTAAAATACTGCTCCATAATAGAAACCTCCTTGCATGCCTGGACACGATTGGACGATGGCGAACCAACGATGCATTGTGGTACTGCGTGTCATGTGACAATGGTATCCAATGAAAAAGCAGATCCATAACAGTTCCCCGAAAAGTTGTGGTCATCTGTTCCTAAAATACTTCATGCTCGAAAGCGTTGAAAGGAGGCGCCTAGCACTTCTTGGTGAAGGGTTTTTCTTGGTAGGTGCGAGTTCGTGGCTGAACATTGTACGAAAGTTCTAGGACAACGCGCTGCATTACTTGAGTTTTGGATTGCAACGTAAAACGTGAAGAATAGGAGTTTGTGTTGGACACTCGGAAGTGGAGAAACAAAGTTTGTGTGTGTTACGTTACCAGCATTCCTGTATTTTATGATTAAGGTATGTCATTTGTATAAGTTCAGTTTCAAGGCAACTAGTGATACTAATGGCAGCGCAGCAGTTTTAAGCTATTGGCATTGTGTCAAAGACTACGGTTATTTACGAAGTAGATTTGCAGGTCATTTGTGGCAGTTAAAAGTTTGTAACATCAAAATTTGTGATCTTCTGTACATATGTTTTAGTATGAAATGTTTACATTATTATTCGTACTTTTTCTCTAAGGGTGCTCAGTAGAAGTTACTTGATGGCACGCTAATTGGAAAATATAGGGAAGTCGGGAAGGAAAGGGACAGCCTAGGTGTGTAAATTAGTGATAGTGGAATGGTTTTGTTTGTGCATGCTTATTAGCATCTTAAAATTAGGCATCCTTACCTTAGTAACAACAGCAACGTCGAGAATTGAAGTTTTGTAGCCATTTATGCTTTATTACTTTAAGAACATTTATTTTATTAGTGTTAGTGCAGTGTGATTTTCCTTAATGCACATTTTTATCACTAATGGCAAACAAGAGATGTGACATTTTCTACAAACACTTGAGAGTGAACAGTGATGTAGTTTGGCCCATTCCACTGCATTCACATACGTACTAAATTCTGGTAAGACCAATTTTGTTACCAAATTATATAAATCATGTTGTTTAAGAAAAAGGTTCTGAATTCAAGAAAAGAATGTTGTATGTTTGAGGAAATGACAATGACATAGTCACTAGGTATCATAACATTTGCGTAAAATGAGTCTGGGAAAAGCACACTAGTCACTTTCTCTGCGTGATATATTTTTGTACCATATTTATGCTTTCTTTCTGTTTTTATGATTTGGTGGGGGTTCTTTATTGTAAAAGTGAGTGAAGGTAACCCACTGGCCCCTCTGTGATACTGAATATCCTCTTTATGCAGCACTGGGGTAATTTATCCTTTATCGGAAAGCAAGTGGAGTTTATTTGGTGCAACACCGAATGATTTCTCAATGGCCATGTCTGTTGCAAGTGAGCAATAACTTTTTTCTCATTGGTATATCCATACAGCATTTTTCAGTTTTGTAAATGAATGATGATTGTTCTGTGTGTTTGGGTACAGGTCAAGTGTGAAATTGTGATGTTTTGTTTCAGCCCCTTCCTTCTTCCTTATCTCATTTAGCTCATTTCTTAGCGAACTCTATTTGTGTGCACACCTGAAACAATTTTTCAGTTTTCCTGAAATTTGTACATTTAATGTTACACAAATTTGCTTGTGATATTAAATCGTAGTGATATATAAAATGCTGGTACCATTGGAGTAGATCAATACAATTGTCTGTGTATGTAGCGCAGGATGTTATTTGGAAGCGATTTGAACGGTGATTACAGGGTGATAATGATAACATAGGTTGGAAGGGAAAACAATGTGAGGTAATGGCTAGTTAACTTTATGAGGAAGATTACTTTTTGAGAAGCTAATTGTTGATCAGTTGGTGAATGAATTTGCCACATTTTATATAACTGATAGTAGCCTGCCACTGATAGCAGTAAGGTCTGGTCCACACCTTCCAACTTTATTTTCCTAAGTTCCATTTTAATACTATTTCCAAATTGTAGCTTTTCAGAGTGGTTGCACCCTTTATGCTTTCCAACCAAAGGTTTGTACACACATTTCCACCATGTGTGCTGAATGATCTTCACATTTGCTCTATTTTGTCATCCTGATTTATTTTCTGAATTTTGAACTTTTACACCATCTGTTACTTATCCTTCTCAGGTCCAGATATTCTTAGCACCATTTCTCATACGTAGTCAACCTATGCATTTTTCCTAAAGTGAGAGACCAAGTTTCACACATTCAAAATGACAGGTAAAATTATAGTTTTGAAAATCTTAATATGTTTGTATCTTTGTGATGGTAAGACACAGAAGTATGTGGTAGAAATCATTGCCAAGTTTTAATATGATTTTAGTTTAGTCATGAATGCAGTATTCGCATTTTACCATTGTCCCCAAGCATTTGAACTTTGCCACATTTTTCAAAGGATTATTTATTGCCTGAAGATGGTCGTCTTTTGGGACGTTGCACTGTGTAGTCATGTGGATTCTCACTGATATTTCAGAGGAGCTTACTGCATCCATAACCAGCTCCTGTGAAATGTTGGTCAGAATCTACCAGACTGCACAGTGCAACGTCCCTGAAGGCAGTGAGAACTTGACCACTTAGGACTTTCTGCCTACTTTGTACAGTCAGACTTGATCAGAGTGCCACTACTGGCATTAAAGTGTGGGTGGCAGTAAATTTAATGTTTTATATTTTGTGTAATTTTATGTATTAATATATTAAAGTGCCACATGGTGTGCAAAGTGAAAAAAAGACAACATTGCTGAGTAACTATCTGTGCTTTGTAATAGTATCATTACGTACAGTAGGCCTATTCATCCTTACTTTATTGTCATTTTTTGGAGTTGTTGCAGTTGCCTCTTTTCCCTTAATCAGTTGATGATCCATTTTTCATATTCAGTTACCTATTGAAATAACTAAAGCATTCTCAAGGTATCCAGGCTTTGCACCCTTCAACCATTTCACACCTTCAGATATATGTTTAGAACCCCAAGAACAAAATAAAAAAAAATGTGTAGGGATACAATCCTCTGGAAGCTGTGCTTGCTGAGTTACAGGCACATGAAATATCATAAAATGGGGTGAGCGTGTAGTCATGCTGTGTCATCACTGAATCCAATCAATTTCTTGAAGTAGTGTTCTTTTCAGAATAACAGAAGATGGACAAAGTTTAAAAGCCCAGTGATATCAGTATTGATTGTAGTATATCATTGTCAGAACACTTTAGAATTATTCTGATTCAACATTTTTCAAATGACAGAATTTTACTATTTTGTGGTTTTATGCATACTAACAACTGGAAAAAAGTCATAATGTAATGATTGAATATTATAAAGGCTCTGAAAATAAGGTGCACAGCTCATTGTGAATGTTCATGAGTAGAGGTGTTTTATGGGCAATTGAGGGGGTATACATACAGTGTGTTTGGTGACATAATTATCCACAGCTGTCACTTGATGGCAGCTCTC